TTGAAACTTTGGGGCAGGAATCCTAAAGGTAATGACTGAGAAGTAAGCCTTCTTGGACTTGCTTCTGAGTAAACACGGATTGGGCAGCGCCATAAATCGTTTTAAATCATGGAGAGGAGGGAAGAATCCAGTTCCGTGGCGTACCGTTCTCATGGATTTATGGTTAATAATAATAAGGCTTCTGAAAAAATAATTCTTTTAACTTCAGAGAATAGTGGCAGGGGAAGCTCTCAAGTAGATTTGCTTAATTGTGTGAGATCAGAGATTTAGTTAAAATTCATGTCTTCCGAAACACAACGAAATAGGGTTTACTGCAAAAGAAACCAGCTTGGTCGGTCCACTCGTCCTTCCTTCCTTCCTTCCTTGGGTACGATGCTGGGAATTGCTCTTTCAAATTATGTATCTTGAAATTTTGCTTAAAGGAAAGGTGAGTGTTCTTCAGTTTCAGAGTCAAGACCGTGTTCGAACTGTATTTGGGGTGTAAGCAGAATAGGGCTGCTGGGGTGAAGGGGGGAGGCGGCGTGTGGCAGTTTTAGATGGACCCAGGGCAAGTGAAATTAGGATCAGAGCCCCCACCACCACCCGAAATGTATCTTGTAGTTTACTAGTAGAAAGGTATTTGAGCCGAAGGGAAAGGAGGTAGCTTATGGGGAGTCTCCTATTTGTTCGGGTAGGAGACTGAGCTTTTCGAAATGGCGGGGTGGGGGTGGTCGGAAGACAGCTCCGAAGTCTCTTGATTTGAGGAATCGTCTTCGTAATAGTTGCTGACTGCGTTTAAAGGACTCCTAGAATTCACCCCCTGTGTGCACATATCTGGGGAAATTGTCGAGTTAGCACGTTAAAAGCTGGACGCAACTTTCACAAACGTCAGTAAAACGGGGGAGAGAGTAGAGCCCCCACCTCCTCCCTCTTCAGCCCCCCCCACTACCCAGTATTAAAAGCACCTTGTGGTTCGTAGTTTGCTGGGGGGGGGTTGACGAGGATGCTGAGAATGGGTGCAGCTGAACGTTCAGTTAATAATACCCACCCATAAATGTGGCGTTTTGGAGGTGATAGAGAGAT